GGAGACTTTTGTACCATGCAATAAATGTATTCCTACTTTTCCAGCTACGAAAGGTCCACAACCATTAGTTGATTCACAATAATAGCAGCTTTCGCTGATTGGTTGTTTGTATCAGGCATGCAATTTTAGTAGAAATTGTGAAACTGGGAAATTACTACCGGAATAGCTGGATATCCAAAGATGTCCCAGGAAATGTAGAACCTTCTGGGCAAATACATTTGTTCATTCTGCACTTGCTCCTTGAGCACATGTGCTAGGCACTGGCAAAGTCCATGAGGGAGACACACACAGAGACTCCAGCAGTTCACTGTATGGTACACAACCAGTTCAGGGTCCAGACAGTAAATACCACAGGGGTTAGTGAAATGGACAATCATTAAGGGTGAATTTTAAGCAAAGAAAATATTTCTATCACCTGCAGCCCTAGAACTGACGGAGTCTCTACAGAAACATGACTGGGAGGAACTGGACCACAAGCTCTCCCCAGTTATCTCCATATTCCATATGCCATCAAGAATCACTCAGGGGATGAGCTTCCTTATCTTGGAATGTTTCTGCGGAACCTCAGTATTAATCTTTCTCTGGTCCTTTCAGCACATTCTCAGATGAAAAGGCAGTTTTTAAAGCACCAAAGAAATGGAAAATAAATGTGAAAGAATCAGTGCCTCTGCCCTGAAGGCTAGGAATCATCCACAACTACCTGACAGAGATGGAGTTCCAGAGGTCTCTCCAACACAGAAAGTCTCTACATCTGGAAGTCAAGTGTTTGGCACTCTGAACACATTTTCTCATAGAGACAATGTATGAATCAGGGTTCATTCTCAGATTGGGCTGACAAAGCTCCATACTAAGTCACATAGTACCAAAAGCCATAATACCATCCTATTTCTTCCACAACATTTTTACTGAGATACAATGTCCACAATTCACCCTTTTAGAATATACAAATCAGTGGTTTTTAGCATATCATAAAGTTGTGCAACAATCACCTGTATCTAATTTTAGAACATTTGTCACCGCCTCAGAAAATCCTGGACCTCAGGCAGTCATTCCTCTCTCCTCCACAGCCCCTCCTAGCCACTCATCCACTTTCTCTTGATAGATTTGCCTATTGTGGCTTTCATATCAATGGAATCATACAATATGTGGCCTTTTGTGTCTGGCTTCTCTCAGTCAGCATCATGTGTTCAAGGCTCATAAGTTGTAACATGTATTCAGTACCTCATTTATTTTTCAAAAGCCTTTAAAAAGTTCATACTTTGGGGATCCCTGGGGGGCTCAGCGATTTAGCGCCTGCCTTCGGCCCAGGGTGTGATTCTGGAGATCCGGGATCGAGTCCCACGTCGGGCTCCCTGCATGGAGCCTGCTTCTCCCTCTGCCTATGTCTCTGCCTCTCTCTCTCTCTCTGTCTCTCATGAATAAATGAATAAAAATCTTTTTTTTTTTTTTTTTTTTTTTTTTTTATTTATGATAGTCACAGAGAGAGAGAGAGGCAGAGACACAGGCAGAGGGAGAAGCAGGCTCCATGCACCGGAAGCCCGACGTGGGATTCGATCCCGGGTCCCCAGGATCGCGCCCTGGGCCAAAGGCAGGCGCCAAACCGCTGCGCCACCCAGGGATCCCATGAATAAAAATCTTAAAAAAATAAATAAATAAAAATAAAAGTTTATACTTGTACCTTAAATGGAATTCCATTTCTAAGAATTTATAGAAATAATTAGAAATGCACCAAAGAATCTGTGTGCAAGTGTATATTACAATATTATTTATGATGGGGAAAAATGTAACATTCACTATAGGGATTGGTTAAATAAACTTACACATTTATATGACGGAATACAATGCAACATTAGTAGTATATTATAGTACAATGCAACAAGATTTTTTTTTTAAGATTTTATTTACTGGGAAGCCCGGGTAGCTCATCGGTTGACTGCCTGCCTTTGGCCCAGGGCATGATCCTGGAGTACCAGGATCGAGTCCCGCATCGGGCTCCCTGCATGGAGCCTGCTTCTCCTTCTGCCTATGTCTCTGCTGTGCTCTCTCCCTATTTCTCATGAATAAATAAATAAATAAATCTTTAAAAAAAAAAAAGATTTTATTTACTTATTCATGAGAGACACAGAGAGAGGCAGAGAGAGAGGCAAAGACAGGAGAAGCAGGCTCCATGCAAGGAGCCCAATATGGGACTGGATCCCAGGACTCTGGGATCACTCCCTGAGTCAAAGGCAGACGCTCAACTGCTGAGCCACCCAGGCATCCCAGTAAACAAGATTTTAAAGGATATTATGAGAGGAAAGGCTCATTGTTAACTAAAGAAAGAAGGTTAAAAACCGTATTTTATAAAATGAATTTGTGGGATGATATCAACCAAAATATATTATGAGGTATCTTTGAGTAATAGCAATATGGATGGTTCTAAATTTCCTATTTACATACTTCAAAATTTTCTTCAATAACTTGAATGATCAGTAAAGTAATTTGTCTTTAATAACACTTTTCTACTGGGAGAACAAAAAACAACTTTTGGAATGTGAACAGAACTGAACTCAGAGTTCAATTCAGAGTCCCTCATGTTTTCATTATAGAGAAAATTTTATTGCCTATGTAATTATATACACACATACACACAACGGAAATAAGTATAAGCTAATCAGTCCATTTTTAAAAGTTGTGAAAAGCAGAAAGGAGACAATAAATATAAATGCAGAAATTGAATTAGGTACCAGAAAAATGGAACTGATCAATAATCCAAGAACTGGTTCCTTTACAAAAACAACAAAAGGGATGGAGTTTAAGAAATCAGACAAGAAAAACAAAAGCTAAACAAATAAAATTAGAAATGCAAAAGGATGATACAACCAGAGACACTGAAGTTTAAAAGTGCAAATAATATATGCTACTAAATTCGAAGGTGGGATTAAGTGGGAAGTAAATTACAAAAATGGAGTCAAGAAGTCAAAATGCAGGGGTGCCTGGGTGGCTCAGAAAGTTAGGCAGCTGATTTCAGCCCAGGTCATGACCCCAGTCAGGGTCCTGGGGTCAAGCAGGGCATTCACTCAGCAGGGAGTCTGTTTCTCCCTCTCTCTCCCTCTGCAAGGGCCCCACTCATGCTCTCTCTTTCTCTCTCTCAAAAAAATAAATAAATGATCTTTAAAACAAACAAACAAACAAAAAGGGTAAAAATAAAAAAGCTCAACTGATCAGAAAGCAAAAATAAACCTCTTCACAGCTTTACCTCCCTTTCTCATACTTTCAAGAAACCATCAGTTCTAAAGCCATATAAAGTGTTCTAGAACACATAAGGTTATGGAAAATTACTAAATGAGTTTTATGGGGCTAGTTTAACTCTGAGATAAAAACACAACAAAAGTTACCTCCTACCCCAAAGGAAATATCCATCCATACACATTAGATAGGAACATTCTAAACCCAAAATTAGGTTGCAAAATTTAACATTACTTAGAACAATTTATTATTAGGAAATGTACAAATATGTAAAACCAATGCAATCAACTAAATTAACGCTCAAAAACACCCCAACAAAATACCTATTCCTATTAAAAACTCTAAAAGCATGGAATCCCTGGGTGGCTCAGCGGTGTAGGGCCTGCCTTTGGCCCAGGGCAAGATCCTGGAGTCCCAGGATCGAGTCCCGCATCACGCTCCCTTCATGGAGCCTGTTTCTCCCTCTGCCTGTGTCTCTGCCTCTCTCCCTCTCTGTGTCTTTCATGAATAAATGAATAAAATCTTAAAAAAAAAAAAAAAAAAAAAACTCTAAAAGCCACAAATCACAGAATAATCCACTTACAGTTTTAGAAGTTTCTCCTCAGCCAGTAAGTAAACAGTAAAACTAACAGAGTAAAAATTAAAATATTCCAAATAAAATGAAGGAAAAAATAAGAGAGACCACCAAGAAAGCCTGACTAATTCGATATGCCACAAACCAAAACCAAAAGCAGTTAGTTTTATCAAAACAAAATAAGTTTAAATGGAGGAAAGAAAAATCCCATTTGCATCAGCCACATCACTAATCAGCCCATAAATAAGATAAAACAAAACGTGCAAGTATCTGAAACTAACACTAACCCAAAATGTCAGAACTTAAATGTAAAGAAAACTATCCCCATTGACCATGTTGCATTATAAAAGAATTGAGGGGAAAAAAAAAATCAGGGAGCACACTTTACTTCTAGATTGTCTAGCTTAATAATACAGAGAAACATACTTTTAAATATTCCATTCCTGCCATTAGAGTCACACTCTATACAGATAGATTTTAAAGTCAGCCCCTGAAACCAAAATTGTAGTCATACCAGAAATGCTATCTATATAGCCATTAAAACATATGAGGAACATTTTGATCAATCGACATGGAAAAATGTCCAGCATAATTTGTCAAGAGGAAATAAAAAGGATAAAAGGATCATAATAATGTCATGGGGTGTGTGGGGGAAGGCACAGGTATTTAGAAATAAAGATGAACACTCTCAAGTGTGCAGTTTAGCTACCTCTGAGTGGTGAGGTGGCATGATTTTAGGCACTGGGAACTTTTGCAAAGAGTACAATGTAACTTCTGTAAATTTGGAGGTAGGGAGGGGAACAGTTTAAAAGTAAAGAAAAAAAGAAATACACCAAAACATAAACAGCATATGTTTTGAGGTCACTGTATTATGGTTGTTTAGTTGATTCAACATATTTTCCTGTGTTTTCCAAATTTTCTATAATAATCATAAAAAACAAACCTCTGTGCAAAACTGTAAACAACATGTTCAAAAAACTCACTTGAACCCATTCTTGTTCTTTTGAGCTTACATGGGCCAAATTCTCATTTTTTTCTCCAACCACTCTATTATTTTCAACATTAAATTCAAAATTTGCCAGGAAGCATTCCAATCAGAAAAAAAGAATAAGAAGTCTGAACTGCTCATACACGCTTGTCCAAATTAAAAAGGAAAGCAAAGTGTGGTGAGGGATCAAGGTGTGGTCCAGAGTCTTACCGTGAAACTGTTGTTGACGTTCTTGGTGCTGGATTCAGCCACGCTGGCATCTGTCAGGTCCACCTCATCAAATATGATGGACTGGAGAGAAACACAGGAGCTGTAGTCAGTGTGGGGCCAAGGCACCCCAGCCGAGCAGTGCCCCCCACTCTCCCTCGACCCCAGCCAAGTGCCCACAAACACCCCAGTGCCTTGAACCTTGAACACTTGGTAACTACACGAATACTGACTGTGTCCACCCCACCTGCTCCTAACGAAGAGCACAGAGCTCAGAGGTAGAGCTCCAGGTGTTTTTTAAGCCAGGCATTCATTAGCGATTGCATTCATGGAGAACAACAAAACAAAACATCCCTGGGATTTCTGTATTTATTTCTTGTAATCAGCATTTCACTTTTACATGTGATATATGCCCTCACACAGAGTCCACCTCAGGGAGCAGGGCTCCAAATTATGGATCGTCTGTCCTTCCAGCTAGCACACTTAAAGGGAAAGATCCTGGCTAAAATAAATGATCCTAGGAAGAGAGACCACCCCAAATAGAAGGGATCTGGCCATGGGGGGGAAAAAAAAAGGAGGGAACAGAGCAGAAGGAATCTAGACCTGAAGAGACAGACAGCCAAGCTCCAGAAGGAGGACTGGGAATTACACCTGGGACTTTCCTCCCAACCTATTTTCCTCTCCACTCTCCCCCAAATCCCCTCGGCACAGTCCGCATCTCCTGTTTACCTTACTGTGCCCTCTAAGAAGACTCCATTGGGAATCCCTGGAGGAAATACTAATGACTTAGAAAAGAGACTCAGCCTTTTAAGTAATGAACCTCCTACCCCGTGCCCCCCCCACACACACACACACAGAACTAAAATAACTATAAGCAGTCTGTTGCCTTTTTTTTTTTTTTAAATGAGGGATGTGGTCAGAACCCTCTCTAAACAAGTCGCTCTGTTCAATTTCAAAGTTTAATGCACTCTCTAGGGATACATCTCAAAAAAATCTGGAATCTGAATCACTGACATTTTAATACCAAAATATCAGTATTGACAACAGTGGTATTCAAAATACCAAAAGCTAGCTTTGCCAACACACCACATTCATTTAAACACAACGGTAACTGAGTGGCTTTCGCTGGCTCCCTGTCTTCCACTAGAGCTGCCCTGTGACTCGCTGCAAAGCTTACACACAGGCCAGCACAGAGGAAGGAGGAGCTCGGCTAGGGGCCTCAAGACAGAATGTCACAGTCCTGTTCACACACCAACAAGGCCAATACGCTCCAAAAACAGCTTCGATTAGTTTCTCAGCTATGTACTACTTATCTCCAAACTCATTAAGTTGTACACACTAAATATTTATAGCTTTTTGCTTGCCAATTATAACTCAATAAAGTGCTTTTAAAGAAAAAATATATATTTTTTAGCCCATAATAAGATTTATAAGCCTGCGACACTCTCCCCCCCACCACCCCAGAGAAAGATCTCTAACCGTAATTTGGTTATTTCTGTGAGACTTCCCCCCTTTCCCACTGGTGACATAGGACACTAAAAAAAAAGAAAGTGAGTCGAAGTCAACATTTATGAGAAACCAAAGTGCTCTGAGACAAACTAAAGCTAACACTCCAGAGCATTAGCAAGCCCACTGGAAAGAACAGATCCTAGCAGTAGAAGTCTGTCCCAGGATGTGCACTAGGCATGGAACCTGTCCCGTCGTCCCCTCACCCCACAGCTCCTCCTGAGTCTGTTCTCAGGTGGTCTCCACTGCACCTCACCTTTGCAGTTTTTGCATAGTACAGCGTTCGCCCCCGCAGCTTAAAGTATCTCCTTTTTGATCGCTGGAATGAATTGTTCTGTTTGGTCAGCATCCCCTCTTTGATGACAGTCTGAAAGCACAGAAACGATTCATGAGCAAGCGTCTGCATGGTGCCCTCAAACCTGTCCCGCGGAACTGCACGCCGACGGGCCGGGAACCTAACTGGAGTACTTCTCGCATTCTCCCTAGACCCTGGCCTATGGACAGGCCAAGCGCACTGCCTGCGAGTGCTACACAATTCTCTGAGGGCCGATGGCATGCCTGAGGGCTGAGGGTGCCCTGGGCCCAAGGTGTGCCTGGCCATGCCCAGGGGATCAGCAGGAGGGAACATGAAAACTCGCAGGGCCACAGTAAGCAGCAAGGGGCCAGAGCATTCTCCAACTTCAGCATTTGGTATTCTTCAGCTATTCTTGGCCTTGTCTCCGTGTTCTCTGGCCTCCTGCCATTTCTCAGGATCCTGTTGCCAAAATTGTCGACGTAGGTTGCTGTGGGGTTCAGCACAGATCAAGGCCTGCGCCCCACTCAACCCTCACCCCCATTCACAAGCTAGACATGTGCCTCTGCCCACACCATCAAGGGAAGTGCCACAACCAAAGTCACTAAAACTCGTCTCATCCTGTAAACCTCATCAGTCCACCATGAAACTGGAGTTCCCTTAACAAACAAGGTGGACAGCAGGCCACTTACCTTGGCTCAATTAAAGCCAAGAATAGGGCACGGCTTTTTCTGGAGCTGATTCCCCTCTTGTGCTGTCCCCGGGGGCTGGTCTAATAGGACAAGGGAGCCCTGCAGGCCACTTAGAATGCTCAAAGAACTACTTGATCATTAGAGGTCTGAACCACTGGGAGCCACTAACGGGCAAAATGAATAAACAACGTGCGTGGCTCTCCGCATGGGCATACCTGGTTTTCCCCAGCTAACAGAAACGGCCGTTCTACATGGAGTCTCACCATGGAATCCAGCAGAATGCAAAAAAACTCTGCTCAAGTACACAAATACTGGCTCAGACAAGTTTTGGATGAATTACCTAATCCTGTATAGCTTTGCACTTTAACCTTTTAAATAAAGTATCTATCCGAAGCACTTGAGTACCTGTGGCCACTCAGGACAACAGAAGATGAAACCAGACACCCCATGTAACCTAAACACGTCAGAAGACAAGAGCAGAACACTAGCACGGTCTGGTCCCTCCATCGGCCAACTCCAAACAGAGGGAGGGCACTCGGGATGCTGTTAACCCCCCCTGCCCCCGAGAAGAACGCCAAAGCAAGCCCCCGGTCCCGTACACACCACCAACACGGGGCCACGCACCAGGACCCCCACCCGAGCAGCACAGTGCCCGGGGGTCCTGTGAAGGCACACGGCTGCTCTCTGCCTTATCCCCGCCACAGGACATCCTCTCTGTGAGCTCCCTGGGCAGGGGGAGCCACACGTGCCAGCCCGTGACCAGGCGCCAGGTCAGGCCAGCCTCGCAGTCCGAAGAGCAACGTGCTCCAACTCCCAGAGGCAAACTCCTGAGGGATCTCCCTCCTCATTCTGTGGCACATGCCTTGGCCTTTCCTTCTGAGGACATCACCCACCGGCTCTCCCAGGTAATTAAAGAGTGCCAGCAGGAGAGACAAGAATACAACGTCACCCAAAGAACAACAGAACAGACACGCCAACCACCATCCCAGAATCTGAAACTGCCATCGTTAACTAAACGAAGATGCTGGCTCTTCTGAGGAGCGGGAACGTGCTGAACCAGGGGCCGATCCAAGGCGAGAGCAAGGCCCACCTCTGATGGCAGCAGCTGCAGGGAGAAACCATCCCCGATACAGGACTACCAGGCTGCTTCCTAACATTCTTTTCAGAGCCAAGTACACACGGACACTTGTGTCAACGTGCTCCTCAGAGACCCAGAGCACGCCCGTGTGCGCACAGCGATGTGGACCACGGGCGCCAGGGCTGTGCTCCAGGACAGCCTCCTCCTTGACCTCACAGGACTTGCTCACAGACGAAGGCACCTCTCCTCGCCCCCACGCGTCTTCCTTACCTCTGCAGGGGAAGTCACCACTTCCATCTCTTTCCTAAATGCAAATTTAAAAACAAAACAAACCAAAAAAAGAAGACAACAAAACCAACAAGCCCAGACCCAGAAAAGTTAAAATAAGTATCTTTAAAGGATAAACGCTAGAGTATTTTTTCTTGCATCTCCCGCCACACATCTCACACATAAAAGAAAAGCAAAATTAAGACACAATCCACTCCACCACACACACACAAATCTTTCAGAAAGCGGATGAGAGCTGCGATCTTGGGCTACCCAAGGAGGGCCGCTGTTCTATTTATAGAACAAGAGCACTCAGAAAAAGACTCTGGTGGGTTTCAGCGGAAAAGGCTGGGGGAAAGATAAAGACCAACATTTCTTTGAAGCTTTCTCAGAAACTGCGTTTCTTCTCCTGATTCGCTGCTCAAGAATACTATAGATATGCTGCAGAATATTTTTAAACACTCAGTCAAAGCAATGAACTAAAAGTGGTCAAGAAAATAACACCCCTGAATAATCTGCTGTGTTTTGCATTTGGCAGCTTGTAAATGGCACCCACAGGAAACACTGCTCAGCTGGCAGGGCTCCTCCTCATGCCCAATGGAGCAGAGAACCAGAAGTCAAAAACCCAGACTCAAGCACAGCTCGATCAGGACAGGCTGGACGGCCAGGCTCTTAGAACCATTTTGTCAAGTTCTCTGCACAAACCAAAGGGCACACTCTGTCCTTCAAGCAATCCAGGGCACCTTCATTACCATGGGGAACAAGAAAGAAGAGACTGGAAACCCGTGCAGGCACCGAGAATCAGAGCGGCAAAGTGAGCCCCACGGCCACCTCCAGAGAGGAAGTAAATCCCCAACCTGGACTCCAGGGACAAATAGGCAGGCAGTCTTCAGCCTGAGCCTAAGCGTGGCTCTGGGTGCCACAGCCACCCACGGTGAGCACAGAGAGCACCTGGCCCATGGGCGAGACTGGGCACCTGTTGTGGGGGAAGCTCAAGTCTCTAAGTCATCCTGCTCAGAAACAAAGGACTGAGGAAGGTAGCTCTGGAAATGCCCTTAAAAAGGCTTCAAACGAGGGGCGCCTGGGTGACGCAGTCGGTCAAGTACCCGACTCTTGGTTTCGTCTCCGGTCGTGATCTCAGTGATGTGGGATCGAGCCCTGCATACAGGCTCTGTGCTCAGCGCAGAGTGTGCTTAAGATTCTCTCTCCCTGCCCCTCCAGCTTGTGTGTGCGCGCGCTCGCTCTCTCTCAAATAAGAAAATAAAATCTTTGGCGGGGGAGACAAAGGCTTCAAACCAGTGGGCAGGAAAAGGAAAGAACAGGCCCCTCGAGCCTTGGTCAAACCCGCCCAGATCACTGACAGCCAGGCCTGTGGGTCTCAGGCCCTCATGTACACTTTGGAAAGATGGTTTTGGCCACAGTCTGGACGAAAGGGAGAGGGAAACCCGGAGGCACAAAGAACACTTCAGAAACTCTTGTGAGAGGGCGGCCAGGAACACTGAGCCTCTGGGAGAGAGGGGCACAGACATGAGCGTGCTCAGGAAGACCACCACCGCAGATGGAGGCGAGGAGGACTCTGGTTTCACGGGGGAAGCTGGGGGCTTCATTTGGGACATGCCCGTGAGGTCCTCAGGGGTGCTGGGGGAGCTGTGCAGAGAGACAGCAGCAGACAGGAGGTCAGGCTGTGAGAGAAGGTTTAACAGGGGAGACACCTTGGTATGGTCTCTATGGAAAAGGAGCGAAGGAGAGAGGCACAGGGAACCAGGAACCCCGGGACACGAAGCTCGGGTACAGAGAGGCAGGAACCCAAAGGAGGACAGGAGAAACTGGGCACAAGGCCAGGGGTGAGGAGAAAGCACCCAGGCGGCCACACTGATGCTGCCAACTGGGAGGAATCCGAAGAGGACGTGCCAGGGTGAAGCCAGAGCACAGAGCACCAAATGTGACCGGAATGGAAGGAAGCAAAGATGGGGGGCGGGTTTTTTTTAACCTGCATGTTTCTTAACTTTCTATAAACATAAAATCATAGTGCACGTACCATCCTTTAAGTTCCTATTTTTTCTGTCATGATACATGTCAACACCCTTCCCTATTAGTGAATATATCTTTGTCGGCCACAGAGTTTTTCCGTGTACCGAGGTGCCTGTGTCACTCAACTCACTCGCGCAGCTGGAACATATGGGATGCTTCTCGCTCAATACTATCAACAGCGCTTCAAAGAATATCCTACAACAAAGCATCTGTACCTGTCCTGGACCATTCCTTAAAGAAAATGACAAGAAGCAGCATTTGGGGCTCAGGACAGCCCAGAAATAGCTGCTTGCAGATGTGAAAGCATGACGTGTGACAGCAGCAGCTTCTCCAGCTGGGGACAAGGAAGGACCAGTCAGTGGCCGGGCCTAACACAACAGGTTATCTGAGGGCAAAGATGCCCTTAAGGCCCCCCACCTCACACACCACAGACACAAGCCAGCTCCAAGTGCGCTACTGACGCAATGCAAAAGGCAGAATTTTAAAAGGTTCATCAGACAATATAGGAGAATTGCCTTATAACCTTGGAAATGGCGGGCACGGGTCTTAAATAGGATTGAAAAAATACTAAACACAATCTATAAAACTGCTAAAGCCTACTATATTCCAACTGAGAACTGTTGATCAAAGATACCTTACAAAGAAAGGGAAAAGGGAAGCCACGGTCTGGGAGATGATACACGTAATACTGCCAAGGGCCAGAGCCAGCATCCAGAGCATTCTAAGAAGGCCTACAGAACAGTAACAGGAAACAGAAACTACTAAATGGAAAACTGGAAGGAGGCATGAACCAGAGTAAGTCCAATGGTGACTAGGAGATGCTGAAGGGCAGTGGGCTGGACAGGACGGCTCCCTGGAGACGACATCCTGATGCTCTGCTGGATTCACACATGCAGTTTATTATGCACGTTTCGGCTGCATTGGCATTAATGTGTGTGTTATGCAGTATGTGAAAAGAAAGGGGAAAACAAAGCTAGTCAATAAAGGGATAGAAGTAAAATCTCAGA